TGGGGGAGGGATCCCGATAATCGTCTCTCTGGATGCTGATTGGCCGTGTTTGTCGGCTGCTCTGATTGGTCAGCCTTGGTATAGCGGCTCATTGGGAGCCAGAGGAACCGCTTTGGGTTCCATCTCTGTGAGTCTGAGCCTGTCTATTCTAGCTGCTGCAGTTCTACTGGCTCCGTGGCAGCAGGGAGACAGGATGTATTTCTGGGAATTCTGGGAAACTGTCCTCACAGGTTAACCAAAATAGGGCCAAACACACACCTGATGCAGGTTGAAGAGGCTGCTGATGTTTTAGGAAATCCAGTTGGTTTATTTCTGTAGCTCTGATCTACGCCCCCTCAGCTCACTCTATAGATCTAGTTCATCCAGACCTGCAGATCCGGTCTAACCTGTCATTTTCTACGGGTGTTTTCGCTGTTTCCTCTGACGGTTAGCAGCTCACCTGAAGTCTGGGTGACCTCTGACCTTTTGGACACATAGGCCACCGTAGCTGGAGCAGCAGGTCTCCTCCTGGTGGCCGTTGGTGGCGCTACATCCAACCTAGGAAGCAGAACCGCGTGAGAGACGCTCTCTGGGGGCTGATCTCTCTGATCTCCTCGGTTCCCTTAGTTCAAACAATCAGTGAAGTTTTTAGAACTTACTGAGGACCAGGGCCTCTGGACCAGTCCAGAAGAACCAGAACAGACCTCCTGGTCCGATATCTAGTCTGATGTCTGGTTCTAGTCTGATATCTTGTTCTGGTTCTGGTCTGATATCTGGTTCTAGTCTGATGTTTGGTTCTGGTCTGGTATCAGGTTCTTGTTCTAGTCCAGTATCTGGTTCTGGTTCTGATCTGATATCTGGTTCTGATCCGGCGTGCGGTTCTGACGGTTCTGTCCTCTGTCCAGGTCTGGATCCGTCCCCCTCCACCTCAGCCGCCGCCCTCTCTCAGCAGAAGGCTCCGCCCAGGAGGCCCCCCGCCCCACCTGCTCCGTCCAGCTCCTCTTCCTCATCTTCCTCCTCCAGGCGGATGAAGAGGATGATGGAGGAAGAGCAGGACCCAACGTCTGCTGCCGCCACGCTGCGTCTCCTCAGAGAGAAGCTCCCCCTCCAGGGAGAGCCCAGGTGAACAGCCCCCCCATCCTAAACACACATTAAGCAGTACGATGGCGTCCAACCTCTCCTCTCCTCCTCCAGCTGCAGCGGTTCTGATGGTCCGGGTCAGTCGGGTCCAGAGCAGCAGGCTGCTGAGGTTCCAGTGGTTCCGTTTGGGTTGGACCTTTACTACTGGGGCCAGGAGCAGCCCAACGCTGGCAAGATCATCAAGTAAAACACAGCGCCTTACCGGGGGGGTTAACTAGACCCTG